CGGTCCTCCAAGCACGAGCCCCATGCCCGATGTGCTGCACAAGTAACGCAATACCCTCTTCGCAGCATCCCAGTGCATCTTTCGATGCCTACCGGGAGCCACGTAGCGACCCAGGAGGTAGAGAGGGTACGCGAGGTCAGGTCCTGTGCACGTTATCAGGTACATGAGGCAACCCACAAGCTCTGGGTACGGACCACTCGGCTCTACGGACTCGTCCGAAGGTGGAGCTGAGAGCGAGTGGCCGGTAGACAGAGGAATGGGCTGTGGAGAGGACAAAGTGAAGTCGAAGCGCTGAAGGACCTGCTGCACCATGTGTGACTGAGTGAGGGTGATTGTGCGGCGTGCTCTGTCCCGGGTGATCTGCAAACCAAGGTAACTCCGCAGCTCACCCAGGTCAGTGCAAGTGTGTCTCTCCTGCAGCTCCGCCTTCACCAAGGCCAGAGCCTCAGTGTCAGCAGTAGCAAAAACCAAGTCGTCAACGTACACAAGTGTCTGTGCGCAGAAACAGCGAAGGGTCATCAGTCGAGGGAGCGAAGCCAAAAGCCGCAAGTGTAGTCCTCAGTGTGTCGTGCCACTCGCGGGGTGCCTGTCGAAGGCCGTAGACTGGTCGCCAAAGACTCCACTGGGTACCCTCAGGAAACGACCCAGTGAAGCCACGTGGACGGCGCAACCAGATAGCCTCGTGAAGGCTACCCTGCAAGAAGGGTGTCGAGAATTCGAGAGAGTGTAGCTCGTAGTCGCGCTCTGCTGCAACGTGCAGTAGCACCCGAAGAGTGGTCATCTTCGGGGTGGGGGAGAAGGTATGAAAGAAGTCGACCCCCTCACGCTGATTGAAGCCTCGTGCAACGTAACGCGCCTTGAAGGCAGGCGGAGAACCCGGCGGCCGCTTCACCCTGAAAATCCACATGCCATCGACTATGTTCGCCCCAGGTGGGGGAACCTCGTCGACGTAGGTGCCTGTGGACTTCCAGGAAGCCATCTCTGCGTCCATGGCTATCTGCCACTGAGAGGAGTATGGACCCGTGATCGCCTCTGCGTAAGTGCGTGGGGTCGGGATGTCCAGTGCATCCGGGTCTCCCTCAGGGCAAAGTAGCGAGGACGCGAGATGCGGTGCAGCGGCCGCGAGACACTCAAGCTCAAACTGCCTGTCCTCAAGAACGTCACAGCCAAGGGCAAGCTCACCCCCGACGGACGGAGGACAGGAGGAGTCAAAAACAGGACTCGCAGCGTAGTCAAGGCGGCACAAAGTAGCAAAGTCAACAAGCTCAGCAACTAAGGCAGACGCAGCAGCGGACTCAAAGGAAGGGTCAGTCACAACCATGGCAAGGAGACGAGTGACAGTCGGACTGGCAGTACGGACAAGGTCAGACTCAGGGTCAGGAACGTGAGGAAGAGAAGACACAGGGGGAGACGGCAGGACAACACGCTGTGGGACAGAGGAAGGACAAAGTGCAATCCGGTGAGTGCCTGGCACAGCTGGAGCACGAGGACGGACAACAGGACGACCGCGAACAGGAGTGGACGCACGAGTCTCAGTCTCACGACGCTCAGGAGTGGACGCACGAGTCTCAGGCTCACGATGCGCAGTCAGGGACGCAGTGACCTCAGTGTGAGGAGCAGGAGCAGGCAGCGAGGAGCCAGGCAGTAGCTGTGGCTGAGACTGGTCAGTCGGTGGGAACAGTAGCGGAGGAGTAGTACCAGGAACCGGGAACTCAGTAGCAGCAGGCGGGAGACTGAGAAGGCGACTAAGCGCAGACGGCTGCGGCTGAGTAGTCGCACCCCCAGAGCCTCCAGCTCCAGTAGTAACAGCACCCCCAGAACTAGTGCCTCCAGCTCCAGTAGTAACAGCACCCCCAGAACCAGTGCCCCCAGCTCCACCACCGGGACTGCCTCAACGAACAGCCCACTCACGAAGCTGCAGCGGAGAGAGCGACTCCTGCCGACTAGCACCACGAACTCCAGTACCTCCAACAGCACCTCCAGCACCTCCAGCAGTACCTGCACCTCCAGTACCTCCAGCAGCGCCTGTGCCTCCAGTACCAGGAACACCAGCACCAGCACCTCCAGGGCTAGCACCTCCAGAACCTGAACCTCCAGCACCTCCAGCAGCACCTGTGCGTCCAGTAGCAGGAACACCAGCACTAGCACCTCCAGGGCTAGCACCTCCAGAACCTTCTGCTCCAGTACGTCCAGCGCCACCACCAGGTTTGCCCCAACGGACAGCCCACTCGCGAAGCCGCTCCGGCGAGAGAGACGACTGGCGATGTGTGCCAGGACAACCCGCAGCAGCACCCACAGCAGCAGCACCTCCAGTACCTCCAGCTCTAGCAGAGCGAGCACGGCTAGCTCCACCACCAGGGCTGCCCCACTGTACAGCCCGCTCGCGAAGCCGCTCCGGCGAGAGAGTCGCCCGCCGACGTGCAACAGTGCCACCAGTACGAGCAACCACAGTACCACCAGTAGCAGAACCTCCAGCTCCAGCCGCTCCAGCACCTCAAGCTCTAAGAGGGCTAGCTCCACCACCAGGGCTGCCCCACTGGACAGCCCACTCGCGTAGCCGCTCCGGCGAGAGAGCCTCCTGCCAACTCGTAGCAGGACCACCAGCACCAGTACATCCAGTACCTCCTGTACCCAGAGGACCCTCAGCACCCCCAGAACCAGCACCTCCTGTGGTACCACCTCCTGCAGCACCGGAGTCCACTGCAGCAGGCTGCAGCGGCGGTGAAGACGGTCGAGGCGGAAAACCTGGAGGGACAGCCAAGCGTGCAGAGCGGCGAGGGGTCACTGTGGCAGCAGGAGTCGGGTCACCCCCCTCAGCTGGGCCAGAGGTGTCTGAGGAGACCTCCAAAGGCTCAACCAAGGGGGGTGGGTCTACCTGAGACACACCTAAGGGAGCGGGACTGTGAGGAGGGAGGGGGGCTACCGGGGGGGGGTCATCCACCAAGGTGAGAGGGGGGAGGGGTACCGGGGAACTGCGGTGGGGGTGAAGACGGTAGAAGCAGACGGACTCGTCAAAGGTCACGTCCTGGGAGGACAGCACACGACGAGAGCCCGGGTGGTAAAACTGCCAGGGCAGTGCGTCGGTGGGAAAGCCAAGGAACACGCACCGAAGAGTGCGTGGAGAGAGCTTGCCCGCAGGCAAGTCGCGGACAAGAGAGAGGGAACCCCAGACCCGAAACGCCGACGCATCACCAACCTCGCCCGTCCACCGCAAAGTGGGGGAGGTCTCCGGGTGGGAGACACGGGGCCAGAGGTTGAGCTGCTCAGCGGCGTATCGGACCGCAAACGGCCACAGGAAATGGGGAGCAGCCGCATGGATCATGGAGGTGCGAGCAACCTCCATGACAAGACCAATGCGGCGCTCGGCAATCCCATTCTGCTGTGGAGAGGCCGGAAGCGTGTACGTCTGATGGATGCCCTCAGCACCACAGAAGTCCTCAAGGAGGTGGGAGCAAAACTCACCACCTCGGTCAGAGTGCAGCCGCAGGACAGGGAGGTCCTCACGGAACCGAGCGCGAAGCTGGAGACGAACAGCGCGGATCCAGCGGATCAAGACACCGCGCACATCCGCCTTGCTCTGCAAGGGGAAGACCGTGGTGTAGCGCGTGTAGTTGTCGACAACCAGCAAAAAGTAGCGCTCGCCACCCTGTCCAGTGACGCGGGCGGGGCCCCACACGTCCATGTGCAGGGTCTGCAGAGGAGCAGTGGTAGGAGGAAACGAGGAGGAGTGAGGAGCGGGGCGCTGCCGCCCCTCAACGCAGGGAAGACAGGGCGGTGCAAGCGACCTCGGGAGCAGGGGCAGGGACCTGGGGAGACCAGACACAAGGAGACGGGAGTGCATGCCACGCAGCGTGGCAAGGAGGGGTGGCCAAGGCGGTGGTGCCAGAGGAGAGTCTGGTGCGTGAGGAGACGACACGAACAAGACGAGGCGACCTCAACCGACGCAGCTACCTGACCTGACTCAGCTACCAGTGCAGACTTGTGGTCAGTGTGTACAGGCCAGACCCAGGCTTCCGAGTGAACGTGGCAAGGTGCTCACAAGTGCGCGAGTCTGTACAGATCGCCACTAGCTCGCCTCTAGGCTGGGTGACAGTGACCCACTGGTCATGGAGGACAGAGGTAGCCACCAAGTTCTTAGCGAACGAGGGGAGGTGAAGACCTGTGAGGAGGCCGGAAGGGGCTGCCGGACAAGGGAGAACAGTGGCGCCACGCGCGACTACCGGGCCCCAGAGGGGTCGGCCAGTGTGACAGGGATAGGGACTGTGAGCGGTGTGACTGTGGTGCTATCGCGGAAGAAGCAACGAGACGCGCCGGAGTCGAGAGTGAAAGTGTGCAAGGCCTCCTCAGGCTCTGCACCTGTGCTAGATGAGCCAACAGCACCAAGACTAACAGACTCTACGCCACCAGGTGCCTCTCCACCCCCAGTACTAGTACCCCAAGCTCCGCCACCGGGGCTGCCCCACCGGACAGCCCACTCACGAAGCTGCTGCGGGGAGAGAGTCTCCGGCGAACGCTGTTGCCGCTGCTGTCCATCCCCAGAACCTCCGCGTCTACCAGCGGCACTACCAGCAGGAGTAGACTCACAGGGACCTCCAGTAGTAGCACACCAGGCTCCGCCACCGGGGCTGCCCCACCGGGCTGTCAGAAAGAACGAAACAGGAATGATTGAACTAGCACAAAGTTGGGTACAAGTAGGAAACCCTAAGTTTGTGTACCCCCTAAGGCTAAACCCACTATAGCCTACACAATGTAAACATACAATGTTTGACACACCCCCATAGGCGAAGTGGGAGACAACCAGAGGGTCACAAGACCAGTCAAAGCAAAGCAAAGCAAAGCTCAGGGTGGATCTCAAGGATACCACACAAATTCTGAGCACAAGCAAGTGGTCACAAGACCAGTTCACATGCAGTTTGATAATAGAACAAGAGGTACAGTGATCACAATTTAGCAAGTGAAAGCATGCAGGTATATATATAGAGATCACAGTACAAGCAGGGTCAAGAAGTGAGCAAGTGAGGGAGAGTAGGCACAAGGCCTAGAACAGTACAGAAACGCTGATGGTCACAAGGCTGAAGCGCCTTGGTGAACACATCAGCAGTGTTGGCCCGAATGGCCACGTAACGCAGACGAAGCTGACCACGCTGCTGCAGCTCTCGAGCAAGGAAGTAGCGCAGAGCGATGTGCTTCGTTCTGTGCTCCAGTCTGTGCTCCGCACACAAGGCAATGGCTGCCTTGTTGTCGACGTACAGCACTGGAGGAGAACGAGGCCGCTCTCCGAGGTCGGTCAGCAGGTAGGTGAGCCAGCGTAGCTCCAGGGCAGCCATGGCTGTGGCGTAGATCTCAGCCTCACAACTGGAGCTGAGAACAGAGGAAGAGCGTGTAGAACGCCAGGAAACAGAGCCAGAGCCAAGGCTAAAGGTGTAACCCTGAGACGACCGCTGCGTAGCCTGGTCGTCAGCCCAAGAAGCGTCGGAGTGTCCAGTGAGGACAACGTCGCGCCGTCCTCCAAGCACAAGCCCCATGCCCGACGTACTGCACAAGTAGCGCAACACCCTCTTAGCGGCATCCATGTGCTCCTTCCGGTGACGGCCAGGAGCGACATAGCGTGCTAGGATGCTAAGAGGGTAGGCTAGGTCAGGTCGAGTGCAGGTCATCAGGTACATGAGGCAGCCCACAAGCTCTGGATACGGGCCACTCGGCTCTACGGACTCATCCGAAGGCAGAGCTGAGAGCGAGTGACCGGTAGGCAGAGGAGTGGGCTGAGGCGAGGAGTACGTGAAGCGGAAGCGCTGAAGGACCTGCTGCACCATGTGTGACTGAGTCAAGGTGATGGTGCGCTGTGCTCTGTCCCGGGTGATCCGCAAGCCAAGATAGCTTGTCAGCTCACCCAGGTCTGTGCACGTGTGTCTCTTCTGCAGCTCCGACTTCACGTGGGCGAGTGCCTCAGTGTCAGCAGTAGCAAAGACCAAGTCGTCTACGTACACGAGAACGTAGAACGGCGGCAGAGTGGTGTCGGTGCGTAGAAACAGCGACGGGTCAGCAGTAGAAGGAGCAAACCCAAGAGCAGCAAGAGTAGTCCTCAGTGTGTCGTGCCACTCACGGGGCGCCTGGCGGAGACCGTAGACCGGCCGCCGGAGGCTCCACAGGGTACCAGGAGGGAACGACCCAGTGAAGCCAGGTGGGCGGCGCAGCCAGATCTCCTCGTGCAGGGTGCCCTGTAGGAACGCAGTGCTGAAGTCAAGGCAGTGGAGCTCGTAGTCACGCTGAGCGGCGACGTGCAGCAGAACCCGAAGAGTGGTCATCTTCGGGGTCGGGGAGAAGGTCTGGAAGAAGTCAACTCCCTCTCGCTGACTGAAGCCTCGTGCAACGTAACGCGCCTTGAAGGCAGGCGGAGAACCCGGCGGCCGCTTCACCCTGAAATTCCACATGCCACTGACGATGTTCGCCCCAGGTGGGGGAACCTCGTCGACGTAGGTGCCTGTGGACTTCCAGGAAGCCATCTCTGCGTCCATGGCTGTCTGCCACTGAGAGGATTACTCACCCTCCATCGCCTCTGCGTAGGAGCGTGGGGTCGGGATGTCTGGTGCATCCAGGTCTCCCTCAGGGGCAATCAGCATGGACACGAGATGAGGTAAAGCAGCAGCAAAGCACTCAAACTCCTCCTGTCTGTCCTCAAGGACGTCCGTGCCAAGAGCACACTCACCCCCGACGGACGGAGGACAGACAGACTCAGACTCAGACTCAGCAACAAGGCTAGCGGCGTAGTCTAGACGACTGGCTGCAGCAAAGTCAACAAGCTCAGCGACCAGAGCAGACGCAGCAGAGGACTCAAAGGTAGGGTCAGTGACAACAGTGTCAAGGAGACGCGCGACAGTAGGACTGGCAGCACGAGTAAGGTCTGACGGCGGGTCGGCAACGTCAGGAAGAGAGGACACAGGAGGAGACGGCAGAGGGACGCGCTGTGGAGCAGTGGAAGGACGCAGGGTCATATAGTGAGTGCCAAGGACAGGAGGAGGACGCTGACGCGGAGCACGACGACCAGTGCGGGCAGTGCGGACAGGCGACTTTGGACGAGACTCAGAAGACGCAGGACTGGACTCAGGCGACGGAGGACGAGACTCAGGCTCACGACGCTCCGTAAAGCTACCTGTCGGCGCAGTGTAAGGAGAAGGACCAGGCAGTGGGGAGGCAGGCTGTAACTGTGACTGCGACGGGACAGGTGGTGGACTCAGTAGGGGAGGAGGAGTAGGACCAGGAGAGGGCGGGAGACCAAGAACCTGCTGAAGGAGCGGAACGTAGTACGGCCTCAGTCGCTCAGCACCTCCAGCGCCAACCCCCTCAGCAGCTCCAGTCCCAGCAGTTCCAGTACCTCCAGTACAAGCACCTCCAAGATCGGCGGCTCGAGCAGCTCCAGCACCAGCAGCACCACCAGCAGCACCAGCACCTCCAGCAGCTGCAGCAGCAGCAGCACCTCCAGCAGCACCTCCAGCAGCTCCAGCAGTACCAGCAGCACCAGTACCAGCAGCACCTCCAGCAGCGCCAGCAGCACCGCCAGCAGCAGCAGCACCTCCTGCAGCTCCAGCAGTACCAGCACCAGCAACACCTCCAGCAGCTCCAGCAGCACCAGCAGCACCTCCTGCAGCTCCAGCAGCACCAGCACCAGCAACACCTCCAACAGCTCCAGCAGCACCAGCAGTACCTCCAGCAGCTCCAGCAGCACCAGCACCAGCAGCACCCCCAGCAGCTCCAGCAGCAGCACCGGGGTCCGCGACGCGAGGAGCACCACTCCGGAGACTGCAGTGCCGAGCGTACCACTCGCGGAGCTGCAAGGGAGAGGGCAGCGCCCGCCTAGGAGGGGAAGCACTAGCACCAGCTCCAGCAGCGCTCCGAGCGCCAGAAGCACCTCTCCTGAGGCTGCAGTACTGTAAGTACCACTCACGCAGCTGCTCGGAGGAGAGAGCTCCTCCAGGTGTAGCACTCCCAGGCTCAGCACCCCCAGACTCAGCACCCCCAGACTCAGCACCCCCTGTCTCAGCACCCCCAGTCTCAGCACCCCCAGACTCAGCACCCCCAGACTCCGCAACCCCAGGCTCCGCACCCCCAGGCTCCGCACCCCCAGGCTCCGCACGCTCAGGCTCAGCACCCCTAGCAGGACGAGAGTCGACAGCTACCTCGACAGGGTCAACCGGGTCTACCTGGGACACACCTGAGGGAGCGGCACCCTAAGGGGGGAGGGGGTCTACCACAGCAGCACCTGGCGCGAGGAAGAGAGGCGGGGGAGGGAGCGGGGCAGTGCGGTAGGGGAAGAGGCGGTAGTAGGGCACCGACTCGTCAAAAGTGACGTCCTGAGAGGGCAGGACACGTCGCGAGGTGGCGTGGTAAAACTGCCAACCAGATGCGTCCGGGACAAAGCCAAGGAAGACACAAGGAACAGCACGGGAGGAGAGCTTGTCCGCAGTCGTATCGCGGACAAAAGCTCGAGATCCCCAGACCCGAAAACGCGACGCATCGCCAACCTCCCCCGTCCACAGCAGTGTGGGCGAGGTCTCCGGCAAGGAGACACGGGGCCAGAGGTTGAGCTGATGCGCAGCGTAGCGGACTGCAAACGGCCACAGAAAGTGGGGGGCAGCCGCATGGATCAAGGAGGTACGAGCGACCTCCATGACCAAGCCAATGCGGCGCTCAGCAAACCCATTCTGCTGTGGAGAGGCCGGAAGCGTGAACGACTGCTCAATGCCGTGCTCCGCACAGTAGGCTGCCAAGAGGTCGGAGGAGAACTCACCACCTCTGTCAGAGTGCAGACGCAGGACAGGAAAGTCCGAGTGGAACCGCTCGCTGAGCTGGAGACGAGAAGCACGGATCCAAGGGATCAAAACAGCAGGGACCTCACCCTTGGTGCGGAAGGGGAAGACCGTGGTGTAGCGCGAGTAGTCGTCAACAACGATCAGGAAGTACCTCTCCTGACCCTGTCCACGGACGCGGGCTGGGCCCCACACGTCCATGTGGAGCGTCTGCAAGGGAGCAGTCCTCGGGGGAAACGAGGAGGAGGAGCGGCGCGCTGCCGCCCCTCGACACAAGGAAGACAGGGAGGAGCAGGCGAGGGTGGGAGAGGAGGGAGTACCCGGGGAAGACCAGAGACAAGGTACCGTTTGTGCATGGCACGAAGGCGCTGCACGGACGGGTGACCAAGGCGGTGGTGCCAGAGGACAGTCTCGTGCGCCAGAGAGCGACACGAGCAGGGGGCAGACAACTGACCTGACGCAGACGCAGACGCAGCTACCTGAGGGGACTCAGTGGTCAGTGTGTAAAGATCCGACCCCGGCTGCCTAGTGAAGGTAGCGAGGTGACGGCCCGTCCGAGCACACGTGCAGTGTGTCACGCGCTCGTAGGCAGGGGTGAACTGGTGGACACCCCCGTCCTGGAGCGCACAACCCGCCACCAAGTTCGTAGAGAACGAGGGGAGGTGGAGACCTGACAGAGTGCCCGACGGAACCGCAGGACAAGGAAGGACAGTGGAGGAGGTCGCAATGACCGGACCCCCAGAGGGGTCAGCAAGGGAGACAGCAACTGGCCGAGCAGGCTGCTCAAGGGCAGTGCGGTCACGAAAGAAACAGCGAGAAGCGCCTGAGTCTAGAGTGAAGGTGTGCAGTGCCTCAATGGACTCAGTACCAGGGGGCGCAGACTCACTAGCACCTGGAGCAGCAGCCTCACCAGCACCTGGGGCAGCAAACACGTAAGCACCTAGCGCAGCAGCCTCACCAGCACCTGGGGCAGCAGACACGCAAGCACCTAGAGCGGCAGCCTCACTGGTGCGAATGCCCGGGTCGGGCGGAACACGCAGGTACTGATCACCCTCTCCACTAGTAGACAACACATACATGGCAGTGAGAATAGCATCAAAGTCAAGAGCAAAGACATCAATGTTCTTCTTCATCAGATCCCACCAGCGGGGCAGCTCAGTGGCAGTAGGGAACTGAGTGCGCCAAGCGTCGTCAAGGCGGGAGAAACAGCGCTGCGTGGTGTGCGCCCTCCCACACGTCTGGCCAGTGCGCTCACCAGTGCGGATGACGTACGTGCACCTAAGGCCACCCCCCCCCCCGTGCTGAGAGTACCACTCACGAAGCTCCTGGGGAGAGAGAGTCTGCTGTCCGCCAGCGCCACCACGACCACCACCTCCGCCGCCACCACCTCGACCACCACCGCCCCTGCCGCCGCCTCGTCCACCGCCGCCCCCACCACCGCCCCCACCCCGGCCACCTCCTCCGCTGCTGCCGCCACCACCCCCACCGCTGCCACTAGTCCCTCCTGCCCCGCCACCACCCCCACCGCCTCCACCGCCCCCACCACCGCCTCCCCCGCCGTCACCTCCACCTCCCTTGCCCCCTTTGCCCTTGCCGCTGCGGCGCCAGCTCGGAGCGGACGCAGTCCCGACCTGCTCAGTACCAACTAGGTCGACAGCAGCAGCAGAGGCGACAGAGGGGAGCAGGGGGGAAGGGGAACACCCCTCGAAGAACGGGGTGCGGGGGTCGCCACGAGAGGCAGCTACAGCGACTATGCTAGTCTCGGCTGCAAGCAGTTCCTTCTCGAGCAGGTCAACGGTGAGCTCAGTGGGGCAGCGAGCGAGGAAGTGGTCCCTGACCGAACGAAGAGAGTCAGGGAGACGGGTGACAAGGTGGTTGAGAGTGAGCCAGAACGGGGGGGGGTGGGTGGCAAGAAACTCAGCGGGCATAGCGGCACGGAAGCGAGCCTCACTAGTGCGGAGGTGCGTGGTGAGGTCAGCGACTGTGGCGAAAGCGGACAGGTCTGGGAACAGGTAGGGGAGCGAGAGACGGCCTAGCGCAGCAGAGGCAGGTGAGGAGTAGCGTGCAACTACAGCAGTGTACAGTGCCTGTGCAGTCTTGTGCTGGCCAAAGTGCTCGCGCTCATCTACCGGCAGGGAGTTGCGAATAGCGAAACGAGCGTGGGCATCACGAGTCTGCCACCGTGAGCGGGCAGTACTGTCAGCAGTAACAGCAGGGGCAGCAGCGAGGCCTAGTGCGTGATCGTACAGCGAGATGTCCTCCTTGGCAGTGAGCTGGAGGAACAGGTGCAAGTTATCTAGCCAGATCTCAAACTTCACTGGGCGGCCCTCGGCATCAAAAGCGAGTACAGCGGGGCTAGCCATAGCAGCAGTAGAAGAAACAGTAGCAGTAGTAGTAGCAGCAGGCGAAACCCTAAAAACAGCAGTCAGCGCGACTCAGGTAGGGCGGCTCAGTCCAGAGAGGGCCGCTCAGTACGGGGAGGGTGGCGCGGCTCGGTTCGGGCAGCGCGGCTCGGCTCGGGCTGGGCGGCTCGGTTCAGGCGGCTCGGTTCGGGCGGCTCGGTTCTGGCGGGGCCGTGGCGGTCGTGCGTGGGGCGGCTCGGTTCTGGCGGGGCCGACGGGGCCTCTAAGGGGGGGGGCGGACGCGGGGCCGACGGGGCCTCTAAGGGGCGAACGCGGGGCCGACCGGGCCGCTAAGGGGCGGCGCGCGGGGTCGACGGGGCCGTAGGGGGCCGATAAGGGGCCGTGCGCGGGGTCGACGGGGCCGTAAGGGGCCGCTAAGGGGCGGCGCGTGGGGTCGACGGGGCCGTAAGGGGCCGCTAGGGGGCGGCGCGCGGGGTCGACGGGGCCGTAAGAGGCCGCTAAGGAGGGGCGCACGAGGGCGCTGGGGGGAGGCGCTCGAGGGCGCTCCGACAGTAGGGCGCACGAGGGCGCTAGTAGGCAGTCAGTGTGGTGGGCCCTTAAAAAAAATCGGTCCTAGCGGAGGACCTGCTCTGAAACCATGTCAGAAAGAACGAAACAGGATTGATTGAACTAGCACAAAGTTGGGTACAAGTAGGAAACCCTAAGTTTGTGTACCCCCTAAGGCTAAACCCACTATAGCCTACACAATGTAAACATACAATGTTTGACACGGACAGCCCTCTTGCGAAGCTGCTACGACGAGAGCGGCTCCCGCCGACGAGTACGAGGACCGCCAGCACCAGCACCTCCAGCCCTACCACGGCTAGCCCCGCCACCGGGGCTGCCCCACCGGATAGCCCACTCGCGAAGCTGCTGCGGCGAGAGAGACTCCTGCACACTCGGCTGCCGCTGACATAGGACAGTGGTAGTGGCCATGGCAGGCAGTGACAGCTAGTAGCAGCAGTAGCACATGCGGCAGTAGAAGGCGGTAGCACCTACGGCGGCAGCATCTAGAGCAGTAGCAAGCAGTTGCTTAGGGCAGCAGCACCTAGGGCTTTTTTGTTTTTTTGTTTTTTTAGGGTTTAGCAGAGCGCGCTGGGCGCTGGGCAGCAGGGCGCGCTGGCGCGCTGGGCAGCGGGGCGCGCTGGGCAGCGGGGCGCACTGGCGCGCTGGGCAGCGGGGCGCGCTGGCGCGCTGGGCAGCGGGGCGCGCTGGCGCGTTGGGCAGCGGGGCGCGCTGGGCAGCGGGGTGCGCTGGCGCGTCGGGCAGCGGGGCGCGCTGGCGCGTTGGGTAGCGGGGCGCGCTGGCGCGCTGGGCAGCGGGGCGCGCTGGCGCGCTGGGCAGCGAGGCGCGCTGGCGCGTCGGGCAGCGGGGCGCGCTGGCGCGCTGGGCAGCGGGGCGCGCTGGCGTGCTGGGCAGCGGGGCGCGCTGGCGCGCTGGGCAGCAGGGCGCGCTGGCGCTGTGGGCAGCAGGGTGCGCGTGCAGAGCGCGCAGGCAGGCAGGGCGGCGCAGCTGCAGGCAGAGCGCGCGCGAACAGGGCGGCGCTCAGGCAAGGCAGCAGGGCGCTCAGTAGCAAGGCAGCTGGGCGTGCGCGGGCAGGGCAGTAAGGCGCGCGCTGGCGCTAGGCAGCAGGGCAGGAAAAAAAAAGTTTCAAGTCCGGGCAGGGCGGAACGTTCGGTGGGCCCTAAGGAACGTACCTACTCTAATACCATGTCAGAATAAGGAAACAGTAATGACTAGAATGATGGAGAGTACAGGGTTGTATAGCTAACCCTAACCCTAAAGTGTTGTACCCTTTAGGGTATGCCCCACTACAGCCTACAGAACATATACACATTTGACAATGTGCAAACCTAAGAGTTGTACCCCCTAGAAGGCACCTCACTACATCCTAACATTGTTATTACACTTTGACACACCCCCATAGGCTAAGTGAGGGGCATCAAGGAAACGAATAAGTGACAGCAAATGGTCACAAGAACAGTCAAGACAAGAAACACAACACAGCTCAGGGTGGATCTCAAGATCACCACGCAGTCCAAGCACAGACAAGGGGCCACAAGGCCAGTTCTCAGATGTCACAAGAATATATAAATGCAAGTACAACAGTACAGCAATCAAGACACAAAGCTACTACAACCGAGGGCCTGCCTCAACAAGTCCTAACTCCATACAGAGCCTGTGGTGGTCACCAGGCGCCAAGGCCTTGGTGAAGACGTCGGCAGTGTTGGCCTCTGAGGCCACAAAGTCCAAGCGTGCTTGGCCGCATCGCTGCAACTCTCGCAGGAGAAAGTACCTCACGTCAATATGCTTCACTCTGCTCTCCAGTCGAGGCTCTCGACACAGGAGGATCATTGCCTTGTTGTCAGCAAACAAGGTCGGTGAGCAAGAAGGTCAACCAGTGAAGCTCCAGCGCAGCCATGGCACCAGCGTAGATCTCTGCCTCTGCACTGGATGAAGCCACTGACGACGACCGTGTAGACCTCCACGAC